AGCTCTGATGAATGTAAGTAATGGCGGTTTGGATCTGTTGCCTGGAGAAAGACTTCTCGACCTTGAGTATGCGGACGATATTGTCTTACTGTGCGATAATGCCCAAGCCATTCAATCCTCACTTAATCAGTTGGCAATCAGTGTCCGTAGGTATGGTATGTGCTTTGCACCTTCGAAGTGCAAAGTACTTCTACAAGACTGGCAGGATTCCAATCCTGTACTCACCCTGGATGGTGAGCAGATAGACGTAGTCGAGAAGCTCGTGTATCTGGGTAGCTGCATAAGTGCTTGTGGGGGTGTGAGTGATGAGATCAATGCGCGTATAGTGAAAGCCAGAGCGGCTTATGCCAATCTGGGCCACCTTTGGCGCCTTCGTGATGTTAGTCTGATCTACAACGCGTCGGTGAGAGCAGTTCTGCTCTATGCTTGTGAAACCTGGCCTCTCCGAGTTGAGGATGTTAGACGACTCTGTGTTTGATCATCGTTGTCTCTGAAGAATTGCTGGCATCCAGTGGCAACACCATGTTAGTAATGAAGAGGTTCGGCATCGTGTGTTTCGGGCACAGAGATGATAATGCAATTGGTGTCACCATCTTGAAACACCGACTTCAGTGGCTTGGATATGTTCTACGAATGTCGTCCCAGAGAATTCCACGTCGTGCATTATTTGCCGACGCTGGGACTGGTTGGAAAAAGCGGAGAGGTGGTCAGTGCATGACATGGTGTCGTGGTATGAAAGAAAGCTGTAAAGGACTGGCTTCTGTCGGTCCTTCACGTCTCCCTGGTTGGGGTCTGAGAGATGGTGCTACACAGTGGCGATCCTGCTGTAACCTTCTTTTACTTTCTTCATAAAAAGTGGTTGTGTCTCCCTTACTTGAAAGATTTCTTCTGATTGTACCTTTCCGTTCCATCGTTACGACCACACTACCTTACACCAATCTCTTCGTTATCGTTCTCTTTTTCTTTTGTGCTCCTTGGTTTTTTTTCTATCTCTCTTCGAATTTTCATTGTTTTGTGTGGCGCATATATATTGGCGCTCTCTTGTACCAATATTTATGTGTTCAAATAAATAAATTATATAATAATAATACAGTTGAATAGTCTCAAATAAGAATAAATAGAATGTTCAGTGCTATTCAGCTGTACATTGTTTATTACTAACCTAAACATGATGTATGTGAAGGATGAATTCGGCTGAGATAAAATATCTAGATTTTGCTTTAAAAAAAACCCCACAAAATATGCTCTAGAACCGTTTTTAGCATTCAGGAATGTCAATAAGAACAACAAGTAACCATTTCAAAGTTAAATACTTTCCTTAGTAAACAATCAATGGGTATTTTAGTAATGCTCTTTAGTTATAAAAACACACGTTTGAGTATTATGCCTTATGTTTGCGCTCAAATAGTCATTTGGGGGGTCAGCGCATAGCACACCGCGTATCAGTATCAGATTTCGAACACCTCCCATCACAACAGTTTCTGGATACGTTATTTTCATCAAACCCACGTGAAAATAAATTAAATTCCAAAATTTCTATTTCAGCAGATTAGCTTAAGTCAATTCTGCAGCAGCAACAAAAAAATTTCAAGCATCACAATCGAAAATGATCGAAATGATGATACAAATGTTGTCAATTCAAGAAAACTCAACAAAGGTGCCCAAATCAAGGGACTCAACTACCGAATCACTAGTCAATACAATGAGCGAGTTTCATTCTGATCCTGGCACAGGTATCACATTTCAATCATGGTTCAAGAGATATCAAGACATTTTCCAAAATGATTTTACACATCATGGTAACACTTCGAAGGTGAGAAATCTACTTCGGAAACTTGGAGTAACTGAACATAAAAGGTATTCAAATCTTATTTTGCCAAAAAAGCCCAACATTTTTATTTTGATCCTAATGTACAAAAATTAACAGAGATTTTCACTACTCAGACTTCTTTATTTAACTTGCGATATAATTTTCTTAGAATTGATAAAAGACCTGATGAAGAATTTGTTTCATATGATACATTTGTTAGTAACCAATGCAAAACTTTTAAATTGAGCTTATTTCCAGAGGAACAATTTAGGTGTCTAACTTTTGTATGCAACTACACCTGTAGCTCTTCTAGGGTTGCTGTAGTTCCCGGGAGGATTAATCAAATGGCTACGGAAATCAGGAGATACAACTCAACGGTGCTCGGAATCAGCGAAACCCATTGGACCCAAACTGAACAGAAAAAACTGGACTCAGGAGAGATGCTGTTGTACTCTGGTCATGAAGAAGTGAGTACTTCGCACACGCAGTGAGTTGAACTGATGCTTTCCAAAGAAGCAAGAAAAGCGCTTAAAGGGTGGGAGTCTGATGGATCCGGGATCATCAAAGCATCTTTCAAAATAAAGAAGAAGGGAATCACACTCAATACTATCCAGTGTTATCCACCCACCAATGATAACAATGAAGACGATCAGTCTTATGAGAGGCTGCAATCGATCATAGCGAAGTGTTCAATAAAGGACCTGACCATCCTGATGGGAGACCTAAACGCAAAAGTCGGGATGGACAACACCGGATATGAAGATATCATGGGACGACATGGACTGCGAGAAAGGAACGAGAATGGTGACAGATTTGCAAATTTATGTGCATCCAACAAAGAGGTTATAGGCGGCACAACATTCCCCCACAAACGCAAAGCTACATGGCTATCACCGGATCACACTACAGAGAATCAGGTCGATCATCTTTGCATCAATAAAAATTTCAGAAGGTCAATGGGAAACGTGAGAACCAGGAGAGGAGCTGACATAACTTTAGATCACCACCTGATCGTGGCTACTACAATAAAACTGAAGCTAAAGAAGCAATGGACAGCTGGGGAAACAGCATTACAAGGGTTCGATACAGCCTTCCTTCAAAATCCTGACAAAATCAACGACGTCAAGATAGCTCTCAGCAACAGTTACCAAGCCTTGCAAGATCTACCCAAAGAAAAAGAAGCTACAAGAGGAAAAAGCTGTAAGAGAAGGAAATATGAGACAACCATATCATACAACGAAGAAACTGGCAGGGAAATATGGTAAAGCAGAGAGACCGGTCAAGGACAAAGAAGGCATGCCAATCACTCAGATTCAGGAACAAAGGAACAGATGGGTAGAACACTTTGAAGAACTCTTGAAAAGATCAGTTTCATTGAACTCACCAGACATCGAAGCAAAACACACAGACTTTCCTATAGATGTCGTTCCACAACGGTCGAGGAAATCAACAAGGCCATCAGACAAATCAAGAGTGGGAAAACAGCACGCTCTGAAAATATACCACCTGAAGCATCGAAGTCAGACATAGAGGTAACTGCGAACATGCTCCTCATTCTATTCATAAAGATTTGGGAGGAAGAACAAGTGACGACAGACTGAAAAGAAGGAAATCTCATCGAGATACCAAAGAAAGCGGATCTCAGTAAGTGTTAGAAACACAGAGGCTTCACACTAGTATCGGTACCAGGAAACGTTTTCGATAGAGTGTTGTTGAACCGAGTGGAAGATTCAGTAGACGTCCAACTTCGAGACCAACAGGCTGGATTCCGTAAGAATCGATCGTGCACAGACCAGGTTGCGACACTACGGATCGTCGTTCAACAATCGATTGAATGGAATTAGTCACTATACATCGACTTCTTTTACTATGTAAAAGCTTTTGACTTGAACGAAAACTTTAGACGCCAGGGTTTTGAAAAAAGCTCATGATTGATTTGTTCTAGAATGATGTTTTAAGAATGAAGAGTCTCTGTTTTTCATAAACTGAATTTCAATTTTGATTATGATGAGATCTGCTTTGGTTTAGCTAATTGGTCTGTGGCAATAGTAGTATTTCTAGCCTTTATCCTTTAAATAGGAATCTAAGGTTATCATGTAAACCTGTACTTGGCAAATTTTATCAATATAGGGAGATCCGATTTTCCAATAAAAATCGTACACCTTTACTGTTCAGTAGAATTCGGTCAGAAATCATGATTAAGAAACACGAAGCGTGATAACTTAGCACAAATATCCTGGACTTACAGGAGGTCGATCCTGGCGTCCCATATAGCTCATTGGTGACGTCTTCAGTATTGAATTATATAGCATCGAAATACATGGAAAAAGCACCCACGTTTCCACAAAAAATTACAAATAAACTATGTTGTTCAGTATCGACTAGCGTGAAACATATATGAAACAGTGCTTTCCACCAATTGTCTATTACTAAAATAATAATGTCTACGAAAAGCATCACTGAATTATTAACCAAAAGATTGTTCGTCTCACTGCGTAATATTAATCAGTAGGCGGGAGTGTAATTACTCTTTTGAAAAATTATCTACTAAAACAATGAAATTAAGTGTTGAAGGCACGAAAAATACACTATTTTTTAAAATAAAAACAAGACTAGATAATGAGAGAGGAAACCTAAAAAAGAAGCTACTGAAAAAAAACATAACATGACCATAAATAGACAAATGATTCAGCATAACTACTATTGGGAAAATCACTTTTAAACACATGTTGAATCAGAGCGGATAGACATAGAGAAAGATTTAAACGATGAGCAAATGCATTATGATCTTATCATCTAAATATTACTAAAAGGATGACAGCGGCAGCGACAGGTTCATCGGAATGGGATAGTGATGTTTTATTTAAATGATTGAACAAGATAGATGTAGTAATCATTAACCGATGGGAACAATATTAGTATACGGAAGAATTTATAATAGTAATAATAAGAAGAATCAATGCTGATTGGAGGAGGGCAAGGTTCGTTTAATTACCATGATCGCATACGATTGAATGGAATTCGTCACTATACATCAACTTCTTTTACTATGAGAAGACGTTTGACGGCCTGAAGCTCAAGGTAACATCTTTTATTACATACCAGTATTAATAATAAGCTAGTTACAGAAAACTTTTTAAATAAATGTGATCGATATTTAGAAGCAATTATTATCAAAATAAAAGTTTACCTCAATTTCTGCTCTATTATTTGTTTGCTCTCCTTCCAACCGCTCAGAGACATTCCTTGGAATGATAAGAGCCAATTCGATGCTTACCATGGATGATTGGGCCCCCAGTAAACACCATAACCAGCACGACGATCATCATGTGCACCGTTACATGAACCATCAGTATAGACCATCACACGTCGCGGGCATGATGCATCTGGTTAAGAGACAGAGAGGAAAAGGATATCAATCGTTAAACGACAAATAGGTTTAATTACTTAACAATGTCAGTAAGTTGATATAGATTCCTATTACCTTGCTTACTACACGTGGTGGGGTGTTGTTTACGAAAATGAGAGGACGAAAAGCGAATGTTCGGCGCTTTAACCGGATCCCAAACTATTGGTGCACATGGGTTTCAGTATCCTGAAGGAACAAATGGCGTATGAACCATTTGTTGGTTACTGGCTACCAAGGGACTGCATCTCCTTACGATGCTCCACTGCCTTGTGAATCAGACCTTCAGGTCGAAGGCTCGGGGTGTGGCCTTCTAAGAAAACTACCTGCCTCGGTTTGGGCACCCGGGCAGTATCATAGCCCTCACACAAATCAAATGAGATTTGTTTGGCGCGTATGTATTTGGTGACTTCTTGTACCAATATCTATGTGTTAAAATAAATAAATAAATAAGTACCATGTTTAAAAAAATAATAACATTATGGTGAGTTAGGTAAGATTATACTGGCTGGCTTTCTAGATGCATCAAATCAGATTAATTGAGTAGAGATATTTTTCCAAGATATAACCATAACAGAAAGACGGGCATGGAGAATGCGAAATCAACTATAAGAAAACCCAGTAACTGAAAACAATACTAACAGTACCACGGAACCGCCAATAAGAGAAAATGTACACAAAATCGCGGAATAAGAATAGAATAACAGCGTATTGAATGTTTGAAGTATGAGGGAAAATAGTTCTGCAACCGACTAAACAGCGCATGACTATAAGATCTACACTATGAGTGTGGCTTTGTATGATAGCGCTGTTTTAATTCAACACCCATTATATTTTTCATGGTTCGTCCCCTAAGTAAGTATTTATAACCACTCTTAATCGACAGGAGCTAACTTATTACATAATGTCTTGTTTACCCAAAGCTGCTTACTTGACAGTTTCATGATATCTAGACTAATTGATAAGGATTGTTGATTAGATGCCCATAGCACCATGTTTGACTTTACTAGTCATATTTGACGGCTACATAACGGAATACGACAGGGGTGTAGCAGTTAATATAATATCAAACCATTGATTGAGGTTAACAATGGAGTCAAATGGTACTGATAGATTTCCACATACGCTGAAACTTGAGATGGCACATGAACCTATTGTTGGTCACCGACTACCATAGGACCACATCTCATAACGCTGCTCCATCGCTTTGAGGATTAGACTTCTAGGTCAAAAGCTCGGGTAGTGACCCTCTAAGAAAACCACCTGTGATCTTGAGTGCTGTTAGAGGTATGAAGGTGGTTATCACTCCCCGGTTGCCCACACTGTTGAACGGTTCTTCTAGAGGTACCTGAAAAGTGAGTTCGGTTAGAGATGGTCTTAGTAACCTAATAGTGTGACCGCAGTGCCCAACGGACAACTGCTTGAGGCCGGTTACACACGACCTATCTGAGTAGTTTTAGTGTCAGCTCCGTACTTGTCGGGACCTCACCGCCGGATTTGAAAATTCGTGGGATAAGTTGAGGTATGCGCTTTTAGGATCAACATTTTCCAACCCTACCCTTCCTTGTGGGAAGGCAACATCGCTGTTATACTGGCTGTCTGAAAGAAACATCATGCCTCTGTACAGGCAGCAGTATGACTTCACCCTTGGACCTTGGGTTTGCTGCTTTCAGTCTTGTCGTTCTTCAACAGGCTTGTCTGCTAAGGTAGGACCTTGAGGAACAATCATCCCAGCCAGTATAGCTCGATTGGTTCATTACGATGGGCAAGCCCAACCACCATGTCAAGGTGGCAGCAACGGTCGGGAGAAAAACCATTGGCTCCGATTTGGCATCCGGGCAGTACCCCACTCCAGACACAAATGCAATGACTTTGGGAGCGCATACATATTTTGGTGCCTCTTTGTATCGATGTTCATTCGTTTGAATAATAATAAGAACAAACTATAATTAAACAAAAGTTTTCGTAACAATTTCCGGTTTTGAATGTTGTACGATTCTCCAGCATGGTTGAGTATGTCAAATTATTAACTGATTTTGTGTTTGCAGATAACTACAAGTTTTTGATCCAACAACTTAAGAAGCTATATTGTTGTGTCTAGTTATAAACATTACAGCCCTACTTTATTCCACGCTGAAAGATTTACTATTGACAGCAGAACAGAACTAAAACTAATATTCTACCAACTGAAGCTACAAAATCCGACTCACAAAGGTCAGAACTGAACTACGTCTACTTTAATGAGTAATGTAGTGAATACAGAGGGTCAATCTACCATATAAGAACGTACAACGTCAGGAAGATACGAAGGAATTCCAACCTTAATCTTTGGTGTAAATTGTACTAACCACAAAACACATGCAAATTTAAGCACTGAACCCAATCCACATACTACCTGAGGCTAATAACACCAATTAATCTACAAATCAAAGCAGGTGATGAGAGGTTGAGTTTAAGACCATTTAACATTTAGTTTGTGATTTAATATCATTATAATAGCGCTAGCGTGTTATAACATCTTAATACATTTACTAGTCTTCTAGACGAAGAACTAGACCCAATTAGAAAGTCAACAAACTGTCTGTTCACTGTGTGCTTTGATCGAAATGATGTGCTTAAGGCTCTTAGCACCCTAAACATGGAGAAGTCAACAGGACCAGATGAACTACACCCCAAAGTCTTGAGACATATTGCCCAATATATCGCGGCCCCACTGACTGTGATATTCAATATGTCACTTGGCCAAGGTGTGTTACCTACGAACCGGAAGGATGCAACCGTCACTCAAATACATAAAACAAGACCAAGACAACTTCCATTGAACTACAGACCTGTCAGCCTCACCACTGTCGTAGTTAATGGGAAGAATAGTCAAAAAGACCATAATGACATTCGTGAAAACCAACAACTTGTTAAACAGCGAACAACATGGTTTCAGGAAAGGTTTATCTTGCACGACAAGCCTCCTTATAGCAAGAGAGCGATCGATAAAGGTTCTAGACAATGGGAAATCAGTGGGTGTTGTCTAAATAGACTTCAACAAAGCATGTTATAAGGTGCCAACAGATAAACTGCTCTTGAAGCTGGAAAACCTTTGCATTGCCGGACCTCTCCTATATTGGATTAGGGATTTCCTGATAGGTCGTAGACAGAAAGTAGGAGTGAATCCCAAGTGCTCCAACTGGAGACCAGTACTTAGTGGAATACTGAAAGTTTCTGTCCTAGGTCCTTTACTATCCATACTGTATGTAAATGACGTCCCAAGTATAGTTGAGTCCCCAATGTTACTATACGCTGATGATGTAAAAATCTGGCGAGAAATAACAGGTGACGCCGATGCATGCGCACTTCAGGCAGACTTAGATATTGTGACTACCTAGTCTAAAGAATGGATGGTGCCTATCAACACAGCAAAGTATGTCTACATGCACTTTCGGGATACAAAGGTAAACAGGTACAGCATAGAAGTGCCTGTGCCCATTCAAGAGGAGACTAGACACTCATTGAAGCATACTAGAAAAGGAATAACATAGGCCGTAGGCCTTCAGTCCTTACTACACAAATCTGAATCTGAACCTGTATATCGCTGATATTAGAGTAACAACCAGGAATCATTAACAGGTATCACTATTTAATTCTATTGATATCTAATGGTTGGGACTCCAAGATATGAAGAACTAGTTTTGACGTTCTTATTATGCTTTTAAATACACAAGATATATAAAGAGTTTACAAATCAATCATAAGGATTAAAATCCATATGAGAATCAGTCCATTTTGAAAGAATGGATGAAGCATTAACAAAATACACGTAGTCTTGGGGATAGATGTGACAGATTAAAAGCTGAAATGTTAGCATGCATTGGATATCTAAATATCTGTTGGCCTAAATACTAATAAAAGATTACCATGATAAAATGTCAGAGTGCTTGGAACATGGTTGCTACTGATGTAATGCTCTTCAGGAGATAGCTTGGTCGGTAATGGATCTTCTGTCTCAATGTGTAGTAATTAAACGCCATACCTTGACCATCCAGGTCGTCATTCATGCTTCCAATCCTTCGCTTTTTCGAGAGTACGGTTCCGACCTCGTGTCCAGCTTCTAGTAAATTTTGTAACGGGGAGAAATTGAAACTACCAATAAACTTTATAGCCTCATCATAGGAAGTAAATTTCTTAAAGCAAGCTCCAGAGTACCCCTTTACAAGGTCTTTGCACTCAGACCCAATTACTTCTTAGTTAAAAACTTAATGGGACTCACCAACTCGAGAAGACGCCGATGCCACGACCGACTCGAACACCGTAAAAAGGCATTTTACAGGTCGCATACGCCTTGGGCGCCTAAAACAACCTATATGGTTCAAATGGTATGTAGGTCTTTCCAATGTCCAATATCCTTGTGGTCGGATCGAATAAGCCGATCGATTTCTTTGAATTCGTCCCTTATTGTTTGAGTATAATTCAGAATCTTTGGTCGTGCCAAATGGACGGCTGTTTAGCTACTTGACTCTTCTAATTCTAGTCATTTCGGTAGCTATTCGCGGGTTCATATATATGGTAGTCTGAGGGGTTGCGCTTGTCTCGAAACAGCAGAATTTATGGATATAAGTAGCCATCAAATTACCAGACAGGAGGCCGGTTGCTCACAGTGTGAAAAACAATAAAGATAAAATTCGAATGCTGGGCGAAGACCACTGTTTCGAAAAGCAAACAAATAAGTTTTTAAGTTGGTAATGCAGACATTATGGAAGACTAAACGGAATATGTTGATCCACTTGTTTGTCAAGTCTCCTCTTCAAGCTATACACTAAGGTGGTTGCGGTCACTTAGGTTGGAAGAGAATTCTAAATGGGGGTGTAGTGGTAAATAAATTCCCAAAATAAATAGCTCTGTAAGTTTTCGACATTGGATGCTGACCAGATTAGTTTTAGTGGATTCACCTAGCTGAAGGCGCTCGGTCATGCATCTGCACTAGATCACGTGTGGGAACACCGTGCTCAACTGCTACTGCAATCGCTAGCCAGATTAGATCAGATAATTCCGATATATTGGCAATCGTCAAATACAATATATGATCTCATCGATTCTGTCCTTTGATTTCTCATGGTGGGTACGAGTTATCTTAGAAAATGTTACTGGTAAAAGCGTTGTCAAACACTGAATGCCTGTGCCATCTTCATTGGTGAGACCAACGTGGTCTGGGACACCAAATCTTAAACTGTGAGTTTGTTCCATTTTGGGATTCTATATATCATTGCTTTATTTTAATTTTTTATACATTGTGATATTTTTCCCCGCGTTTTTGGATATCTATATAGTTTTCACTCGTGTATTCTCGTACTTAATTTTCCCCTATGACTGAAAAGACCCCCAAGGTATTTAAGATTAAGACTATGTCCCCACCCTCGTTCCAACTCATGCCCTTCTGGCCCGACAATATCGAAGCCTGGTTCTACTACGCAGAAGCCGACTTCCACGAGCACGGCGTGAACGACATACATGCACAATTCCTCGCAGTAGTCAAGGCACTAATGCGCAAATTCAACAGGTACGTAACATCTAGTATGTTTACTAGTGATGTTTCTGAACCTTACGAAATCCTAAAACGTTCGATTCTTAAACGAGGAGACCTAACCGATCGACAAAGGTTGGACCAACTCTTTAATAACATAGACCTGCAACACGTTTCTGCGACAGACATGTTACAAAGGGTGAGAGAGGTCATAGGCCTAAGAACTTTCGATGAAGGCCTATTCAAACAACTTTTCTTGTCTAAACTTCCTCAACAGGTGCAAGCGGTTCTGGTCTCGTTTCAGAAGAACGCCTTAGACGAACTGCCTGCATCTGCCGATCGTATTTTAGAAATAACGAAATCGTCTTCTACAGAGATATTTTCAGTCAAAGAAAAGCCTCAAACGAATCAGAATGACATAACCGAGTTATGTCGTACACTTACGCGGTATCTTAATCTTCGTAACGACCGTAAGCGATCACGCACCCCACGTAGAAGCATTTCACGTAAACGATCTGTCTCTAGACCATCAGAGATGGATAACCCCGACTGGTGCTTGTATCATAACCAGTATGGAAAATCTTCCAGAAATTGCAGAAAACCCTGCAATTTTCACAACACGAAAACGACTGACTCGAAAAACAACTCTGGAAACTTCCAAGCCGGCACGCGTTAACGGCAACCGTAGCCGGCGAACATAGCCGTCTGTTGTACGTCACAGATGTGACAACGAGAGTTCGCTACCTCTTCGACACTGGCGCAGAAGTTAGCGTTCTCCCAGCTAATCCTAACGACCGGCTTCACGAATCGGCTCTAAACTTACAGGCGGCAAACAGGAAACCTATCTCTACGTATGGCAAAAGGTACGTTTATCTTAACGTGGGTTTACGCAAACCCATTTACTGGATCTTCTATAACTATCATTGGTATGGACTTTCTACAACACCATAATCTAATCATAGATACTCGCAAACGAAGGCTAGTAGACGGAAACACTAAATTATCCGTTTGCGTAACTTCTTTTACTGGTCGTAGATTATCCCCAGTCACAGTTAAGCATATGATAGACCCACTCTATCAACCACTACTCGATAAGTACCCTGGGATACAACAAACTCATTCGAAACTACCGTGTGTAACCAGCAATGTTACACATCACATCACGATTACAGGACCACCTGTATTCTCTAAAGCACGACGACTAGCTCCTGAAAAGCTAAGGTTAGCGAAAAACTAATTCGATCACATGATAGACTTAAGAATCATACGACCGTCAAACAGCCCTTATGCATCTCCGTTGCACATGGTGCCTAAAAAGGACAGCAACGATTAACGACCAACTGGCGACTATTGGCGATTGAATGCGAAAACCATTCCCGATCGTTACCCGTTGCCTCACACTCACGATTTGACAGCTACTTTGAAAGGTACAACTGTCTTTTCGAAAATCGACTTGGTTAAAGCGTATAACCAAATCCCCATGGCCACAGACGACATACCGAAAACCGCCATCATTACTCCCTTTGAACTCTATGAACTTTTGCGAATGCCTTTCGGTTTTAGAAACGCTGCTCAAACATTCCAAAGATTCATAGACGACGTTTTTCGAGGTCTCAACTTCGTACATGCGTATGTTGATGACTGCCTAATTGCAAGTCCGGACAGAGAATCACACCTCAAGCATCTGGATCTTTTTTCGAACTATTACAAAAACATGGCATTACTGTAAACGTTCAGAAATGCCAATTCGGAACCGACTCATTAAACTTTCTAGGACACACTATCGATGCTCAAGGCATTCGACCCCTTAGGACCAAAGTGGCGGCAATTCTGGATTACCCAGAACCGACCACGATCAAGCAACTACGAACGTTTAACGGCCTGGTAAGTTTCTACTGACGATTCGTACCTAAATGCGCTTTACTCATGAAACCTCTAACCGACCAACTTCATGGAAATGCGAAATCCATTAATTTGAACGACGCCGCACGAAACGCATTCTCCGCAATTAAGGAACTCAACGCTGAAGCAACAAGGCTTGCACATCAGGACACCGAAGCACCCATTAGTATCGCAGTAGACGCATCCGACTCAGCAATCGGAGGAGTCTTACAACAATGGGTTAACAACTCCTGGCAACCCTTGGCAATTTACTCTAGACGGTTGCTAGACATCGAATCGAGGCACAGCACATTCGATAGGGAACTCCTAGCTATGTATTATGCTGTACAACATTTGCAACACTACATCGAAGGTCGTGAATTTACTCTTTTCACTGACCATAAACCACTAACCTTCGCTCTAAGCTCTACTTCAGACAAATACTCTCCCCGTGAGTCTCGACAACTGGACTACATTTCGCAGTTTACTTCAGATATTCAACATATTTCTGGAGCAAACAATGTAGTTGCAGACGCCTTATCTCGCATAACTTCCTTGAACAGTTTCCAAGGAATTGACTTTCTTAAACTCACCCAGCTTCAAAAAGAAGACACTGGTCTTCAGCACGAGTTATCGTCTACAGCCCTTAAACTACGCATCAAACAGATGGAAAAAGGTAAGGTAACCTTACTTTGTGACACATATACGGGTAGGGATCGCCCAATCGTGCCGAAACATTATCGACGCAATGTCTTCAATACGTTGCACAAACGTTTTCATCCAGGCGTTCGTGCAACCATCAGGCTTATAGCAGAACGGTTTTGCTGGCCTGGTATGAATAAAGACGTGAGGGAGTGGGCACGCTCCTGTGTAAGCTGCCAAACATCTAAGGTCATCAAACACAATGAATGTCCCTTAGGTTCATTTAAAACTCCGGGTGCTCGTTTCGACCATGTTCATCTGGATTTGGTAGGACCTTCATCCTCTTCAATGAACATGGATCTAACCTCCTACAAGAACAGGCTTACAAACGCAATGCGTTCAGTTAAACCTGCTTCCACTCGACCACAATCAACCGATGTTTTCGTTCAACCTGACTTACAATATAGTACACACGTTTTCGTTCGTCGAGACTCACATCGACGACCTCTCGAATCAGCATATGAAGGACCTTTCAAAGTTCTTCAACGCGAATCTAAGTACTATATAGTCTATAAGAACGGAACAAAGGATAGCATCAGCATCAATCGCTTAAAAGCAGCGTATTTGGAAGGAAATCCTATTCACGTCGATTTTCAGATTTGTCAGATTCAGATTTGTGTGGTAAGGACAGAAGGCCTACAGCCTATGTTATTCCTTTTCTAGTATGCTTCTGTGAGTGTCCAGTCTTCTCTTGAAAGAGTCAATTGAAGTTGCGGACACCACTGCTTTAGGCAGCAGGTTCCAAGTATTGATGACTCGGTGTGAAAACCTGTATGCCACGGGTATTTTGTTCGTTCTCGGCTTTTCTACTCGCCTGCTATGTCCTCTGAGGTGTCCCGATCTAGTGGGAAGAAAAAGAGAGAATAAGTTAGGTCCGAAATCATGTCTCAATATTCTGTACATCAATATTAGATCTCCCCTCAGTCTGCGATAGGACAGAGTAAAGAGGTTCAGTTTTTCAAGCCGCTCTTTATATGATAAACCCCGGAGTTCCGGAATTGCACGCGTAGCTGCCCTCTGCACTTTTTCTAGTATGTCTGAGTCACCTTTTAAACAGGGGCTTGCAGCCTGAACACAGTTCTCTAACTTAGTTCTCACTAAGGATGTGTATAATGTGGTGAACTTAGTGAATGTCCTTCGGTACAATCGCACAACACGACTCCTACATTCATAATTCCTCAACCAACAACCAACACACACGATGGTACTTCAACAGTATTGGAAAATAAAATTAAAACAACGCGTTCTGGAAGCAGAGTAAGATTTCCAGAACATTTAAACGACTACG